ACACTTGTTAAGGTGTCATTCGGTGCCATCTTCGACACCTAGTCAGCCTACTGCTTAAGGATTTTGAGACCATTTATTTTGATGAATATCTCATTCAAAGTTTAGGAAAACGTTCCTAAGAGTCTCAACTTTAGAAGAAAATATGATGTCATTGTCATGCACTGTGGAAAGTTGTCGAGAAGCTCCATCCTGCTAAGACTTATAATTAATAATACCTATGTCTGAAAGTGTTGAGTTAAAAGTGTTGAGTTAAAAGTGTTGAGTTAAAAGTGTTGAGTTAAAAGTGTTGAGTTAAAAGTGTTGAGTTAAAAGTGTTGAGTTAAAAGTGTTGAGTTAAAAGTGTTGAGTTAAAAGTGTTGAGTTAAAAGTGTTGAGTTAAAAGTGTTGAGTTAAAAGTGTTGAGTTAAAAGTGTTGAGTTAAAAGTGTTGAGTTAAAAGTGTTGAGTTAAAAGTGTTGAGTTAAAAGTGTTGAGTTAAAAGTGTTGAGTTAAAAGTGTTGAGTTACCGTAAAGCAGACATTGAAGCAATGGCATCACTTTCCCGAACACGCCCCATAGCATACGTTTAGCATTTCTAAAGTTACTAAGGAGGCATCCATTTAGTACAACGCAAGAAATGTTAAATGCGTACTTTTCGGAACCACCACCCACCCCCCAATGATTACGTCCACGAATCTTTCGACCCCCAACCCTCAAAAAACTCTAAAGATATCAAATTATCAATGGATAACGCCATAGAAATATTTAAAGAACGGGTCACAGATTTACACCGCCGACTGTTTGGCCAGCCCATTGGTTCCCATGACATACGCTTCGTCGCCCTCGGTCAGAATTCTTGAGAAGGGGGCAAAGAGGGCATTCGCACCGGGCGCAAAAATCACCTTGAGATAGGACCTTAATAGTGAATGAAAAATATGAAATCACATACACTTAAGAATGATAAGGGGCGCCAAAATTCGTCGTTTTACTGATCCGCCCGGGGGGCACTTTCTTCATTATATATCAAGTGGCACCATTTTCCGGCTTCGCCCCAGGTGCCGTAATTCCTCGGCATGACCTTGTCCTGGGTTGCTTCGGCTCCTTCACAGGGGCGCCGCTAAATATTACACAGTGTTCACAATTTTATTTTCACTTTTAGTCCAAACTGATAGCTAGCGTTCTTGGTGCAAAAACTTGAGTAACTACTGTTTGTAGTTTCTAGGTGACGCTCAGTGACCTACATTTTTAATTTTACCCAAACCTGGTTCTTCTGGTTCTGGTAGTCTTCGTTGCTGCAACCATATACTGGCATCTGTGCAACGGTTGGGGAAACGATGTTGCTATTCTAACAGCTACTAGCAGATGCCAGGGCAGCCTTGAAGCTTTTCGACCGATGTCGAATCCACAGCTGCATGGTCCATGTGGTTCCAAGCAATTATTGTGCGTGGGAAGAATGATTGTTTCTACTGCACTGTGTTACACCGAGGCACAGTGAAGCATTTGCTATTGTTTCGAGTGTGTTGTTTATGGTGTTGTCGGTGGTGAAATCTGTGTTCAGTGAGCCTTTTGCCCCGATCAATCGACCCGGTTTCTGTGGGGTGAGGTACATGCCGTCTGGGATGGCACCTGCATTTTATTAAATTTGTTTATTCGCTTTTTTTGAAGTGCATTTGTTAGAAGTTAACACAGGTCGCCAGGTGAAAACCTAACTTTGGCAAGGGCACCGGGAATCGATAGATTTGAGTAATTTAGTAACCACTGACGTAGCCGGGTGGGGGAGGAGGAAGGTTACGTCACAGCACGTTGAAATACTGTAGGCTAAGTGTTAATGTAATAATGCTACTGCTGAGTACAATTTGGGCGATATCTAGCCAGTTCATTTCACCCCTCCTTGTGACAGAAGTCATGCGACGACTCTGCAAATTTATTTATTTATTTATTTAGGCATTTTTATATAGCGCTTACCTTAAAGCTCTAAGCGCTTTACAATTATTAAAAACATGTAAACTAACTAAAATAAAAATGAGACATTAGGATAGTAACTACTATACTATAGAAACAATTAAAAT